TTTTCCTCATTAGATCAGTAGGTGCAATTCCTGGTAATTACCAATGTACTTACATGCCTTTTATAAAAAAAGAATACCAAAGCCCCCATATTTATTTTAGAAGCTGCAAATTGGAGCTCATACAATGTAGATACAGACTCTTAAAATACTTGCCAGTAATTTTAAAATGAGCTGATCTTTCTGCAGACATCAGAGTAGAAACAAAAAGTTTAGTGTGGGCTAACACTATTCTCTTTTTCTGTTTTTGAATATACACAAATATACAAAAACTATACAAATACAATATTTGACAGCCAGGTTTTCAAATTAATAAGAATTTTCAGGAGAGTTGTAATTTGGTGTTTCTTTTTCTTTCTGATATTTACGTAAAGATGGAATGCTATTTCCTGTCAAAGTCTATGAAGGAATGTTACGTAGAATTTTACCTTTGCCCAAACTTAATAGATAAAATCATAGAGCAGAAATCAGCTGGCCTGCCTGTTGTCCTCTAAAGAGTTTTTGATTCATACTACCTGTACTGTAATTTTCGGAATATAAGCTGCGGCTTATACGTTGAATTTGCCCATGAAAATGTTCACTGCAGCTTATACACAGGGCAGCTTATGCGCCGAGCCTTTAAGAATAAAAATGAGATTCAAATGTGTATTTAATGTACTGGTACAAGAAAACATCTGTTGCTGAAATGAATTATCAATTAAGAAAGTCATTGACAAACCGAAAGCCCACCCCACGAAAATATACCGAGCGGTAAAAAGTACGACAGGCTGGCCAGCCATGCGTGAGTGAAAGCTATCTTCGACAACCAGCCGGCTGTACGTGATACTGCTGCATGCCATGCTGCATGCATTTCCAATGGACCACACCATTTGTGGTTATAAAGGGGTGTACTTTCTTGGAACAATAATTACCAATATTTTAGCTGTTTAAAAAAACAAATAATACTTTTCATGGAGTTCAAAACATTTCTTTATTCGATAATCAGTTGTTCAACGTCACAATATATATATTTTTTTTCTTGAAATGTATTCACAGGAAACGATGTAAACCTCAAAACAGGGGCGAAATCACCCCTTACGAAATTAATGGATTCGTCCATAAAAATGTCAGCATCGTGTTGACTGTTTTCAAAGAAAGTTACTATCAAAACTTGAGTTTTTGACGTTACTACTCGTTAGTAATCACAACAATTTGATAAGTTTTGTTGTAAAAAAGGATCTTTTTATTCTTAGGACAAAGCAAGATTTGTAGCGCTCCAGTCAGACAACACATGGGTGGGTTGCATACTCTCTCAAGTGCTGCGGGAAAATGTTGTCATTCGCCGGCGCTGGCTGCCGGGCCATGCACTAACTTTTAGGCTGGGAACCAGAGGGGCCAGCCGCAGCAATTCCCAGTGTTTATATTTCTCATCAATTTCCATATTTGTTTGTAAGAGTGTGACTGTAAATGATTTGATATAACTTTTGTGGCCCTTTTTATAGCTTTTGTAGTGTAAATGGAACTGGTTCAGAGCATTTTGACTAGAATTTGGAGGTCTTACAAAATTGAAACCGCTGCAGTCGGTGCGGCTTATACGCCGTGCGGCATGGGCTTATACGCCGGTGCGGCTTATACGCCGACTTCAAATCTTAATTTGCAGATTTACACTCCGCGCGGCTCATATTCCGAAAATTACGGTAGATGTCTAAAACTGTTCATAGCATTCCCTGGTTACCTTTATGAAGACATACATGTAACATTGGGACAGGGACAGACTGGTACCAATCAATAACTAATTGTAAACACCGCCTTCTTCAGTAATCCTTTCACCTGACAGTAATCAATACCTGCTAAGTGCTCTGTGTCTATCATACCGGTATGTTGACCAAGTTGCTGTAATGCCACTCTTAATACTCAGTTATTGTTTGTGTAGCTTTCTTTGTTGCATTATGTTTGTTGTTACCATGGAAACCTTTCAGTAATATTGATCTGTTCACAAAAGAGGGGTATCAAATGCTGGAAAATGGGATTTTAATGGACGTTCCCGTGCTAATGAGTTGTTGGACATTTTTGTTTTCATTGAAACAAAATAATTACAACACAATACACTTATTCTGTCTTCCAAATTATTGTTGTCCATATTTAATACAAATATGTTTTATGCTTAAAAATGTAGTTGGAATTAGGAGCAGAGTTTTCTTTAGAATTTGAAAGTTAATTAATTTATGAATTATTTTAGGTAGTTCTTTTGTGTGATGCCTCATTGGAAAATTCATTGTAGTTATTGCTCAAAGACTATAAATTCAGTATCAACATTTCTTTGTATTATTGTGATTTATTTTGCCGGCACACCTTAAACATTTTAAAGCATTGGCATGATGTTGACTTAGGGAATAAATAAAGGAAAGAGCCTCAACAGTGTTTTTACATACATAATATGAGTCCTATTAGTAGAAATTACAGATTTACTTTCTCTGGGGAATTGTTTTGGAATGGGGGTACTTTGAAAATAATGAGGAAAAACATTGAAATCTACAATGCTAAACATTTGTTGTTTTTTTCACAAAAATGGTCTGTTTCATTTTCACTATTGTTGAGTCTTAAGTCTTTGTTTGGCTCAAAACAATACCCTCTGGAGACAGCAAAGGGCATTGTTCTAATTTCAACCAGTCAACTAGTCTGAGTATCACCGGTTATCCACGGAGCAAGACTCCTGTACAACGTCTGATATGTCTAGACATATACATATATCCAAGCCGCGCGCCAGCCAATCGGAGTTGACTTTACTAAATCGTGCATCATTTCATTCCTAAATCAGGACTAAATGGTTTGATTGGTCAATTGGAATGCAGTGTTTTGTAAAGCAACAACAGCCGGGCACATTATCGCGTAACATGATACAGAGCGCGTGACGCAGGGCTTTTTAATCCATTGTCTATGACGCGCAACAGGTGAATGACCGAAGACCCGATATAGAAAGCGCCCGCTGATTGGTCAAAATCTAGGAGGTCAAGAGGCGGCATCTTGCCTAATTAATCAGCAAATCTGCTCTTTATCTATTACATAGACTACCAGTTAAAGAGGTTGTGGAATGCTCGAAAACATTTCCGTCATTTTTCGGGTATATGTAGCCTAAGGTGTGATGAAATACAAACGACTATTGTGTCTGTCATGAAATGAGTACAAAAGGTATTTTTGAGAGCTGTTTTTCAGGTCCTGTTTCGACCCAAACGTGCAATTTGTGTAAAAGTCGTCATTGGGGCAGCAAACAAACATAGTAAATCGTTTGCACTATGCTGCATCGGGAGTCCTGTTTATTACGTCATGATTTACTATGTTTTGTTGCTGCCCCCAACGACAACTTTTACACAAATTGCACGTTCTGGTCGAAACAGGACCTGAAAACAGCTCTCAAAAGTACCTTTTTACTCATTTCATGTCAGACACAATAGTCGTTTTTATTTCATCACACCTAGGCTACATATACCCGAAAAATGACGGAAATGTCTTCGAGCATTTCACAACCTCTTTAACATGGTCAAGGAAATTATTTCTGTACTCCAAGAATGTGATATTACTTTCATTTTGTGATTTTATCTCACAGGTAGGAAGGGTCTTCCCCACTCGGATCCTACCATCATCTTTGTCTTTCTATTCCTGTGCTGATTGCCAGCATCGCCTGGGGATTTGCCATCAGTGTCTTCTTCTCCCGTGCTCGACTTGGCCTCATCTTTGGTTTTGTTCTCTGGTTTGCCACTATCTCCCACTGTTGTTCATAGCCTATGACAGCTCCACAACGTAAGTTCAGTTGATATCCATGCACATACAGATTGCAAAATTGTTTATGAAAAGGCCCATTTAGAGAGGGTGAGGGGTTCGACTCCAGCTGCTAACTAAACATTGTGTCTGTGGGCAAGCCACTTTACACCCCAAACTTACCTCTCCTAATCCAAGAATATAATTGGGGGTAATGCCAATCTCAGAATATATTAACTGGGGATCACCAGTGTGCCTCTCAATATGTATGGAGGTTATTAATGTGTTACCTGTACTTTAGTCTTGGGTATATATGCACATGTGCAATCTGTACATGTAGCAATAATCAAATGATCTTCGGGTTACTCGAGGTCGAACGATAGTAACCAGAGCTGGGTCAAGAGGTCATGTGGCGATTAAATCCCCTTGGCAAATGGATTCGGACTGTCGAAAGCGAGCCATGGTGACCACTGCACATGTACTTGCTCTTCCAAAGTGAAAAAGAAATGCGGGATATGTTTTAAATTAATGTAACTTTCCTCCCATCTGGTAGTACTATTGTGGAGTGAAGCTCAGACACTTTTAATCGCCCCCACCGCAGCGTTAGACTTGGCCGCCATGTTTTGCATTGTATTGTGGGATACTTACTGAAGTAACCGGCTCATTGGTCGGTTACTCGGGTTTGGCACAAGTTCATGCGGGGGGAAATAATTGACCTTTGTTAATATTCTCTTTTGCATTTGAAAGACATCGGGGGAGGGC